GTAGTCTGGTTTGAAGTGCTACACTTGGACATGTTTGAAGCTATGGTTTAAATTCTGGCAGAGGTGTTCTTTAAACATTAAATCTGAACAGTTTAAGATTTAAGATTATTTGAATTGTACTTTTGCAATCTGGCATAGCTGAGAACAGAATCTGGCTGGAGTGTTTAGGCATGAATTAAATTATATGAATTTGTGTTCAAGCACAACTGCTTATCTGTTTTGCCATTGTACAATATTTGCATACTATTTTTCAGAAAACTGAAACACTTATTCTAGCAGCTCACAGTTTTTTGCAGAAATGTTGGTGGAGAATTTTGTCATAGCCATTTTTGAAACACGTTTGGGTAACGGGCTGCCAACAGATTGCCCTTTTAAGATTTGTATTTCACTCGCAGCTATGTGCAGGAATCTTTGAAGAACTTGAAAGTAACCTATCTTCCCTTAACAATTATGTTTATCTTGAATAGTTGTTCCCACATCAGATACAGGTTTGTAGGTGAACCCGAGAGCCTGAAGTCCTCTGTCTGGGGGAGTGTGTGCTTCTATCCACGTGTTACTGGAGTGGCAGCTGTGCAGACCTCCAACTTTCCATCCACTCGGATGGATGTTGCGTGTACCCCTGTCAGGTGTGATCTGTGAGGGCCTGGGCAGGGATCCCCAGCTAGCTCTAGCACCTCTTACACTATTTTCAATTAGTTTGATGCTAAAGCTGTGATCTACACTGCTAGGGCTTGATTATGAAAGAGAAGTTGGGTATCAACTCATCAGAAAATGCATTTGGTTTGCTTTGATTTTCTAGATGGCATTTCTGATAGGTTCTGGAATTTTCCTTTTCCTTTTGGACTTGCTCCTTTGCATAAACAGCCACTATGGAACGGGTGATACAATCTTATGACCTCTGGTTGCAATGTGGCAAAAGTGAAAGACAACCAGAGGCTTCACAGAATTAGTGCTATTAGTCTCGTGCAAAGATTGTCTTTTGTTTGCAGTCTGTCACACTTTTGAGTGAGAACATGGTGGATTTTATTTTTTTATTTATTTTTAACAAGTGGGTAAGATTCCTTCATAACACACAAAACTCTAGAAGTCCGTCAGAAAGAGTCTGAGATACTTACATGGCTTGTCATGGAGGTACTGAAACCTACCATCTGCCTGTGCTGTAGAGAACAGCAGACTTGGATCTCTCTGAATGAAAGCAGTGACTCCAACTATGTTGCAACTGCATCTAGGCTCCAAAGTGGGCTTTTAAAGAGCCATGAAATTCTTTTCCCGGTTCCATGAAAGCCCATTTTAATCTTGAGCCTTCCAGTGATGCCCCATTGAACATGGCCAAAAAACCTAAAAAGCAAAACTAGTGACGTCACCCCTGCAAGACCTCGGGTTTTGCAGAACACCTCGTCATGCACCGCCGAGGGCGGAGCAGGGGGACGCTGCGCGGCCGCTGAGCATCCGCTGCGTGGAAAAGCACAGGAAGACAGTGATCAGTTTACTGCTTTGTGTGGGAAGCCTATCACCGGCCTTGGTGTTTGATCTTCAGATGGTACAAGGGGAAGTTATGGTTCCTTTGTATGGTAGTCATATGTACAGGCATATGTCAGTAAAGATAAAAGCATTGAAATGATTACTCGGTAAGGAAGGACCCTGTGCTAAATTATCTCCTTGCCTCAGCGATGCAAACATAGGCAAAAGTCCCATCACTGCCTTTTAATTTTATACCATAGTTCATATTCTGATATTCACGTCCTGTTTATGCGATGTTGCCTAGCATGTGTGTGTTTTCTACATCCCTTCCTCTGTCTCTGCAGCCTTCGTTATGTTCTCATGTCTCTCTTGATTACTTGAACTTGTTCCTGCCCTCATTTGTCACAGGTGGATGTGTAGAGTCCCAAACAAATACCCTCTGCGCAGGTTCAGATCTCTAGAGCCATCGACGCAAATCTCCCTTCCGTACACTGGTTGCAGTTTGTCGTTTGCAAGTTGCAGACAGAACTACCTAGACGTGACAGCGAGAGCTGGGACCCCATTGCTTTTGAGCTATATCAAAGAAAAGACACTGTACAATACCACATAAAGTTTGACTCCTTTTCAAAACGCCCTTCTTTTCATTATTTCCTCCAGGGAATAATTGGGAATGTATAATGTGGTTACTGCATTTTCTCCTTTGATATGTGCACAGCTCAAGATGGTATCCTCCCACAGGAGGATTTGCTTGGAGAAATTACATGCCCAAGTATGCTTAAATGAATAAATCCTTCATTTTTAAGTGCATCTGTATTCATGATTCATATGACATGAGGTAGGCAAAATACAACTTCTTAAAAACAAACGATATAATAAATATGCCTTGGAAAATAGTCGCTTGAACCATTTCAAAACCTCCTCATGATGGCAGATTGCAAATGTTTAACAACTTGAAGTAGAAATGTAAATTTTTAATGACTTTTTCAGTGTGAGATGATTTGTCTGCAGGAGACATCCTGACAGCTATGTTTCTGTTGAATGTTAGTACTGATGGCTACAGCCTCTTACCAGGTGCCTTGCAGGTGTCACTTTGACACCAAAGATGCTCTGAGCCCATGAACAGGAGCACTCACTCCGTTTCAGAATGAGGTGTTGGAGTGATGTGGGCTTTTTGAGCCTGTGGAGACTTAGTGATGGAGAAGGATATTCGAAGGCAAGCTCTCAATCACTAGCTGTGATTCGTAATGACAAAAATAAATGTACTGGTAAGCTTATCTGTACCTGGCTGAACTTGTTCTCCTGGCAGGGTGAAGGCCTGTGATATCTGACCCATGCATGCAAGGTTTCAGATAAACCAAATAAGCCCAAGTTTTTGACAGTGTCAAGTGCTGCTCCAGGTGAAGTGGGCTGCAGACACAGCCCAGCACAGAGCTGCTGTGCCGAGATCTTGGCTTCGGCCCGGGAGGCTGTACCACCACGTACATGAAGCACTGACCGTATCTAGTAAATCTTGCCTCTCCAAAGATGTATTTAGCTCAAGCAGAGAGTCACCCTGCCATGGCCATACCATTTCTGAAGTGGCCGTACCGTTTCTGGCTGCAGAACGGGAGTTGTTTGGCCCTAACATGCATGACTCTGCTCACCGATGTAGAAATACCTGAGAAGCCTTGACTTCCAGAAAGGGAGAAGTATTGACCCTCTGAAAATCAGGCTCCTTTAAGGGCATCTCAGATGGTGAGCTCAAATATCAAAGCATCCCTAGTATTTATTACCCTTTAGAAAATAAGGCCGTAAATTCTCATTCACATGGAAGAATTATTTGTAACCTGCAACAAAGCTACCAGGTTTTCCAGTAAAGACTTTGTGAGGTTGTATTCATTAATCTCATTAAATCTTGAGATCATTCGGTGGTGAGCACTGTTTACATTCAAGTATTTATTACATTCATTCTGATCATTCTTTACCCTGCCTCCTGGATAAGTCCTTGCCTTTGTTTAGCTTAGGAATGGCTATTTTTAAATGGTTGATATGTATTTATATTTTTAGCAATGCCATTTTCCCAGGTGTTACCCAAGTTTCTTCCGGAAGATCTAAGACCTAGCCAATGTAACGAATCACTGACGCCGTTTTCTTTTTTACAACAGGAAATGGCAAAGGTTTGAAACAGTGTCTACCTAAAACCAAATAATACTGATTTTCTTGTAATTTCTGTAGTGATGCAGCGTACTGCCCAAGCACATGCCTAAGCGTTAGACGGAGCCTGGGGAGTAAAGCGCAGGATCCGTGTTAGGCGGCTCGGCGCGGGGTAGGGTTGGACCACGCGCTGGTGATCCTGAACAGCCCGGTTCCTGAGCTGGCTTGGCCAAGAGGGCACCAGAAGAGATGGGGGTGAATCCTAGACCCTGCCCCTGGGAGCACGTGTTAGCGAAACATCCCTCTCCCGAGACGGCCGCCCCAACTTCCCAGGCGTGCAACCAGCCCCTCCACCCCACCCCACATTTGTTTTATAGCCCGCTGGTTCTTAAATTCCTTCTGGCAAAGTAATACAGTTTCCAACCCATTATGTAAGGTTCATGTTTGTCACCTCTTAACCTCTAGATGTGTGTTTTTCTTTTGATCCATGTTTTCCAACATATCTAAGAGCAGGCTGTGCCTGAAAGAGTAAAGCCACATTCCTTCTGAAGCTACATATTCATTTTGTTCAATTAATATTGTGTAGAGAGAGCTCTGGTGGGTTTTGTATGTATACATTACTAGAAACCAAAATTACTGTGTGCTGGAGATAAAATTAGCTTTTGAAATTCTTTTTCCCCTTTAAAATAAAAATAGCAGAATCTGCCTTTAATTGACCACCTCAGTCATCACAGAGGCTTCCTGTGCTTTGCTTTTAATATCTGTTTTTCCTTGGCTTTAAAGAGTAGTTTTTATTTGCAAGTTTATTATAGAAGCATTCAAATTAGAGGTGGACTGAAACCGCAGAGTCTATGTCCGGATCTGGATGCAACTTTCTAAAAGTTCCACAGTCCAGGTTTTTAATTGTCCTGACCAGACATCACAGAGGTGTCTATAAAAATCAGGTTCAGAGCCACATCTCTGGGGTGTGGAAACGTAACACTTTGATTCAACCCCTTCTCCCCAGTGTATTTCATAAAGCAAATTTATTTAGTGGATTGTCAGTGGGCTGACAGAGAGGAAGAGCTTCCCATATTTACTTATTTTTTTCAGATGAGAAAAGAAATGTAAACAGTACTTTCCTAGACACATAACTTTGCAAACAAGTGTCATTCAACGCAAGAAGTTCTTAACCTCCTTTATCATGTTGAAGCCCTTCTCAGCAGGGTCTCATGATAATTTACACTTTTCTGCCACAGGGCTGGGAGAAGGTTCTGCTCTTCTTCACCCGGACAGCAGGTCCCACCCTCGGTCCTTGGAGAAGAGTGCATGGAGGGCTTTCAAGGAGTCACAGTGTCATCATATGCTGAAACATCTTCACAATGGAGCCCGGATCACTGTGCAGATGCCTCCCAATATTGAGGGACACTGGGTCTCTACTGGGTAAGGAGAGATAAAACAAGATGCTTGAGTGATGTATGTGGAAGAGTAGAGTGCAAGGAAGCAGTGAGGGAAAGATAAATATTCCCACTTTAAGCAGCAGGGGAAATATTTTCTTTACTATGGTGATGCTCTACATTCCAGATGCTTTCTGTATGTTTATGCATAAAAGGAGTAGTTATGTACAGTAGAAGAGCATGCTATAAAGCTGTCCCGATGAATCAATTTATAGTCTGGATTTTAAATAGCATGCTGTGAAGTATCTTTAAATCTCTGACTACGAAGGAGCCCAAGTTGCCAAAATGGATGCTTATTCAAACATAACATTGTACTATCTTTGGCTACGTGCATTAGATCCATTGATGGGTCCTTGTTTTCAGAGCATGTGTCTAGCACAGGTTTTATTAGCAAAAGAAATTAAGATGCTATATTTCACCAGTTCTGTTACTCTCTGTACATGATGACTTGTAATTCAGAGAGCTATTTTGCTTTCTGTGTCTCAGTAGACAATATTCACATGCATATTTAAAGTGACCTGTAGTAGGAAAGACTGGGGTATTTTAACAGAAAGAAGTGTATTTATGTTAAGCAGTGTGGATGTGAGAAAGGGGACAATTTTGAATGCACAAAAGGACTTTATATAGGAAGCGGAATTGAACTGCCATTTACACCTTCAGAAAAAAAAAAACAAACACAAAGAAAAAACACAAAACCTGAATATTGCATGGTTCAAATTCAAACCAAATAGAAGTTTTGCAGTAACAGTCAGAAGTTTGCATTAACTGCCACCCCTGTTGAAAGTTTGAGTGGAAAAGCTGAGGACACGATCCTGCACATCCTTTGCAGACCAGAGCTGGTGGAGCTCCACTGAGAAGTTTCTACAGCAGCATAGAAGCCACTTATTTGTACTGTTCTGTGGACGTTTGGCATTTAACTTTCTGATGTTTATCAGTCCTTTTGCTAAATATACCATGCAAAAGAGATGAATAAGCATTTAATAAGCTGCTACTTTTTTCAAAGAAGAATTGAGTCACATGGTGATCCCTAGACAAAAAGGAAATGAAAAACATGACTCAAAGTATTTAAACCTAGAAAGATAAAGCCCTTAGTTAGATATCATCACCATGAAGAAATATATTAATAACAGCATAACAGCAGAGAAAACTGTTGTTAATTGGCAGGCCACAGACGCCTAGTTCCTATTCACTCTCATTCATGCTAGAGGGATGTTAGCATCCAAGTGTCTCTGTGGACCCATGAAGGTTTGCTCAGTCTTGTTACCCGTAGTGTACATGACGTGCCACCTTGCTAAAATTTGTTTCCATCACTTTCTGTCTTCCCACAGCTGCGAAGTTAGAGCAGGCCCAGAGTTCATCACAAGATCTTACAGGTTCTACCACAATAATACATTTAAAGCCTATCAGTTTTATTACGGTGGCAATCGCTGCACAAACCCTATCTACACATTAGTCATACGTGGCAAAATACGTCTCCGCCAAGCATCCTGGATCATCCGAGGGGGTACGGAAGCTGATTATCAGCTACGCAACATACAGATCATATGCCACAACGAAGCAGTAGCCAAAAAATTGAGTGAGTTGGTGAACCATACGTGTCCTGGATTTATACCAGAAGATAGTCCCTGGGAGCAGGATGTGAGCTACGATTTGCTGAGAGAAGAGAATGGCTGTGAATGCACCAAAGCTCTGAATTTCGCCATGCACGAACTCCAGCTGATCCGTGTGGAGAAGCAGTACCTGCACCACAATTTGGACCACCTTGTGGAAGAGCTATTTCTTGGAGATATTCATACTGATGCTACTCAGAGGCGGTACTATCGCCCCTCTAGTTACCAACCTCCTCTTCAAAATGCCAAGGTATGTGTCTGTATTATATGCTCTCTTTTTAAGGTACTAGCGACAAAGCCCATTCAGCTTTTCTGAGTCAGCACACTAGTGTGCCCTAAAACGTAAATGTTCTTCTAAGGTAAGAGCTGGATTGCAGCCTTACAGGTGATGCAGCCAATTAAAAAAAAAGATCACAGAACGTATTTCATGAGAATAGCAACTTTTCTGTGGTTTATGAGACTGCATCAAATGTGCAGAAAGAAGTCTGATGAACTAAGGTCAATAAAGGCCACTCTGAAGATGGAATCAAAGACTCGTATGCAGAGGTGGGAGTTGTTGGCTGGGACCACAGCTGTAGGCTAGCAGCTGAGAAGAGAGAAAGTTTGATAGAGGAGTGAGAAAGGACAAGAGAAACAGGCATCAGTGGATGCTTGTGTAGTTGCAGGGGTGCCAGGGAGAGAGGCAATCAAATTGTATCAGCACATGGCAGTTGGGTGACCCATAACCTGAAGAGAAAAAGGGGAAATTGGAAGGCAGACACATGAAAGGGGCAGCACGAAGGGGAAAAAATACTGATGGGCTGCGCAGGTCATGGATCCAGACGCAGGCACACACATTAATGAAATGAAAAACAGGTGAATTCTGAACGGGGCTCTAATTCCATTTGATAATTCAGTTTTCAAAGGGGCCTCAAAGTGCCCTCAGCTTCATTGGGAACTGATCAGCCCATAGTAAGTTAACCAGAAATCAAACGGGAAGAGTAGACACCGATGGCCTGTAGCAGGAGGGCTGTCAATCGATCTTTCCTGGTGACATTTCAAAGGCAGGCGGCGATTGGAACCACATTGCCGGCTGCTGCTGCCGTCGACGTGCTCCAGCCGGGCGCTGCCGCAGCATCGCTTCCGGCTAATGGGTTATCACCATTTTTCATCATCTCGTTGCAACTGATTCAAAAATCAGCGGCAGCTTATCAGCAATAGCAGGAATCACAGCAGGGGAAGGGAGAGTTTTGATGAGAAAGCCTTGGCTTTCCCTTCCATTCAAAACCATCCGCCTTGGGTTGCGTCTGCCTCCTGCGAACATCAAATTTCAATAGTTCAGGACCTTACAGGATCTGTCTTTAATTGATTTAGTAGCCTGGCCTAGGGGTAGTTTTAATCCACAGTCAGCTGTGTCTCTGTATGAAAGCTGCTGTCATGTCTTGTCATTCTTATGCTCTCTTCAAGTGACCAGGGACAAATTTGTGTTTTCTTTTTAAACATGTCTTCCCAAAATGGAGAGTTTCAGCAGCAGCAGATGAACAACAGCACATTCCTCATCAAAATTTTACTTTAATTAATTCAAGCAAGCACATCAGATTTCTCTTTGCTTGTTTGGGAGTGAGGGTTCTTTCCTAAATCTCTTCCTTGCAGGTATCTGCAGGTACAAATTATCTGACACCAGCTAACTGTTGTATCAGTTCTAGAAAATATGGTAGATCTTTTTCTGACCACATGAAACAGAGACAAAAATCTCGATTTAATTCACCCTAGCTGATAATTTGTTTCTGGTCAAATATAGTTGTCTTATTATGGGCTGATAGATAACATAGTAAATGCTTACACTTCCACCTTGTAGTAATTTCACTACAGTCAGAATGATCAGGTGTACTGTCAACCAGCTCTATAAAAATAAGACTTTTTGTCCAGGTCTGCTGTAATTTTAGGACACACTGGTAACGATTTTCCTGCTTGTCTCTTCTGCTGCTGTAGCATCGCTTTTTCCCTCTAAAATATAATGCCTCTAAAATACAATGCTCAAATTTAAGGGATCAAATCTTGCAGAAGCGGTCTCTTTCTTGAACCAGGTTAGCTAAATAAACTGAGAGAGCACTGAGAACTCTCATTTACATTCACAAAGTCCATTATTTCAGGCACGATCCAATCCATTCTGACCTAAGTGTGACACCTCTGTGTGGGAGGTGAGAGCAGCCTCAGCTTGCCTGCCTGGGTCACCCCGCACACCGTTATCCCGCAGTCCCACGTGTCTTGATGGGCAGGTCCTGCCCAGGGGTACCCATGTGCTCCGATCGGGAAGAGCCTGCGGTGTGGCTGCCCGGGGAGGCTTCCATATCATGTATTTACAAGAAACGGAGGAAGGGAAAAGCAAACAAGCCAACTAGTTATCTGCTGGTATTCATGAAGTACGGTGCTTCAAAATACATTTTTTGGTAGCCAGGTCTTGGCTGAGGCTGAATTTATGACACTGGAAGCCCATTCCTAGGAGTAGTGTTGGTTCAGAAAGTGCTGTTACTATAGAAAGCACAAGTTAACCCTGAGTACACCAAAATACATACAGGTTCCAGCTCTCTGTGATGAAACTGCTCTAGTTTAATAAATGGGGGCCCCACGTCCTGACTTGCAGGCCACCGCTTAACTCCCAGTTTTTTCAGTTATGACTTCTTAGAGAGTTAGGATAGCTCTGTTTCTCCTCCAACCATTGCCTGCAAGGCCTGCTTGGCTCCCACAGTGTATATATCCAGCATGTGGATTGCTGGGACACCAGTCTCAGCTGGAGCCTTCAATGGCAAAAGATGCATAGGCTTAACACAAGCTTAAAGTATGCAACAGCACAGCTTCTCTTTGTGTTTTTTGGTAGGTTCCTCTTGCTCGGGTTTGATGTGATATTTCTTTTTTCCCAAGGGAAAAATACTAGGCTTTCAGCATGATACAAATAGCAGTACCTGTGAAAAATGAACCCTTGCCTCAGCTGCCATGAAAGACTTCTGGGTGTTGGTCTGTACCTAATCTTGAAGTTCACTATACCAACAGGTTCGCAACCCAGCCATCTGACCTAGTGTTTGCCAAATGTAGGAAGAATAGTAAGAGATGCTTTCTTTTTTTTTTTAAAGCCCAGGCAAACATACTGCTGAAAGGTTATAACCCTTCTTCTTTGAACTCTTTTCCTTTTCTAATTGTTGCTCCACTGGGACCCAGCTGAAAATGAGTTTAAATGCTAAATTGAGTTTAAAGCTACAAGTCACAGACTCCTCTGGAAACTGGACACCATGAATAAATAGAAACATTAAATCAACTTGTTTTTTTAAGGTTTCTACAGTCATACCAAGAGGTTGGGGAGGCCAGGAAATTGGTTCTGAAGTGAATCAGGTGTATTGTGTGGAATCTTTCATTTAAGGCTTTTTTCATTTCCTTTTTATTTACTTTTATTTTAAACTTATAAAGGCCTGCCTAAAATAAGTTAAGAGGATTCACATTTTGAGTTAAATTTATAGTTAAGCCTCTATATAGAAGAAAGTTCCACCCAGCTCAAGAGTTTACACAGCCTGTAAGTTGGATGTGGTAGCCACATTCATTACTTATGTGGTTGAAATGAATGGTAATTAAAAGCAAATGATTGCTGGATATGTTAGGAATGCCAAAGCCACATGATCAAGACTTTAAACAAATAGAATTGGACCTTCTCCAGATTCCTGCAGCGATTTCACCACAGGATGGTAAATCAAAAGGGCCATCCAAAAACCAGACAGCTTTATGCTGCGCTACAAATGTGAATAAATTCACAGATTAATGTATCTCAAGTGTTCATATAAAATCAGGGAGCTTTTAAAAATATATATGTCATCTCTTAAGGCTTTATGAATTCTCTTAGATAAGAGCATACCTTAAACAAATTCCTCCTGTAAAATACATGGAAGTTCTTGAGTGCAGCTGATGAATAGGTCACTGTATAGATTTATCTTAACGGTCCTCTAGCCTTGCTCAAGATACCAGTTAAGACTTGCTGATGAACAGGGCTGAACATCTTTGATGTCTCTTGATGTTGCGAGTTTCTCAAAGGATTCAAGCTAGTGCAATATGCAATAAAGGTGTTTTCAGAAATATCTGCTCTAAAACTACAGGAAATGTGTACAACAGCAATACTGGGACACTTATTTCATGTGTAATTGCCTCAGCAATAGCATTTTTAAACAAAGACCTCCTTGTGCTATTTTATCATCTGACAGAGTAATGGGAAAGATGAGAGCAAGGCTGTGATGACCGGTCATTCTAGTTAGATCATTATTTAGGAATAATGGTCTGGAACATCACAAGAAGCCTAAAATGTGCTCAGATAACCTTCCTTCTGCCTTTGCCATGCTCAAACATTGGCTGACCACACACTTTTCAGTAAGGCAAAAATGCAATTCCAATGGATCAATTCTCTATTACGAGTTTATTTGCTGCTGGGAGCTGACTGCCAGCAGCACCTGGCATTTGCAACTAATACACATTCAACGTATGGAGACTGGTGCTTGGGCTCTGCGTTAGCCAGGCAGTGAAAGAACAAAATGCACAAATTTTTTTGTGCTTTTGAAAATTTGGGTCTTCATCTCTTTGAAACTCAGTGACTTCATCTGTAGGGGAACGCTATGTACTTGAGGACCTCCCAGGGAAAGGTGAGCATAAGTTAATAAATAGATGTTAAACATGTGAAGCATCTGAGAGAAATATGCAAAACATTATCTCAACCAAAAAGTCTAATTCTTGAGGACAAAACTCCTTCGTCTGCCAGAATACTTGCCAATACTTGCCAATACAAGCCAATACTTGAAGGGAGTTTTTTGTTCATTATTACTTGCAAAAGACTCGTGGTTAGGAAAATTATATCGGTAGCAAAGCAAGAACGTCAAGAAGAGTGTTCAGATAGGTTAATTCCACATTTGTGAACAATAACAGCGCATGTGCTGCCCTGAAGAGATAAGAGAAGCAAACAGCTTCTAGCTGAGCTTGGTCCTTGCCGCTCTCGGCAGCGCTGTTGGCTGTGGCCTCGCAGAAGAGTGCTCCTTTGAAGGTGCCACTCTGCACTTACTACCTACACCAGCATTAGTGCTAGGCAAGGGCTGAAGGAAAAGGTTGTGAACCTTCAAAGTCTAAGCATCACTTTTAAAACCCTATTCATCTTTGCTGACTTAACTATCACTGTTTGTTCTGCAACTGCAGTGAAAGCCTGCCCCAACACAAATACGGTACCAGGGATCAAAATTAACTGTT